AGGGAAAGATAAGGATGGGGAAAGAATGGATATAATTTAGAAATCAGTAACTAGAGGGGTTGTGGAATCTTCTATAGAAAAAAGTAAATATAGAATAACTTCCCTTTCTTTAATGACTTAAGTGTGAAACTTCCTAAAGGGAATGAGATGTATTAGCTAACCTTTAAAAGGCTCTTCCAGCTGTAACTCTAGAATCCAGTTCTTAGAAGAATTTGATACTTGCTCTGCCTGCTGAGTACCATGCTGTGGCTTCTGCAGCAGTGTCCATTAGTGATGGGATAGATTTGAGACCTTCATCCACAGAAATTTAGATACATTTCTACATATCTGGCCTTGAATTTAAAATTAGAAAATGCTTCCTTTAGTAACAGGGCTAATACGTGACTATTCCATGTGTCACTGTGGAATTTGGATTGTGTAATTAGACTCTAGAACTTTTCCAAAGTTTCTCCCTGTGTCCTACAGTGTGAGAAAGAATACTTGGGTGCTATTTTAATACAAGGCTAAGTTTATCAGGGTAGACAAGAGCTTTTATGAAACCTGAATTTCCATGAAGATGGCTACACAGAATGCTATGGCATTGGTAGGAACTGAGCTGTGGAAGACTGTGAAATCACATTTGGGCCACTCTCTTCACTCTGAAGAACTATATTATTAAGGACATATAGTAATGACCCAGTGAGTCAACTGAAGCAACAAGACCTTTGTTTGTGGGCATTGTGAATACTCAATTCAAATTAGAAATGAGATCAATCAATAATCAACAAGCATTTATTAAGCTCCTACTATATTCCAGATAATAGGTTCTGGAGAACAAAAGATGAAAATAAACATTTTCTAATAGCATTTATATTCTATAGGCGCCATTAATTAAGGAATCAAAGGGACTGTGGGAAGGAAACATTTCAGTGGGCTTCCCCAGTAGGCATATGCTAGGAAAGTATATTACTTCAAATTCTGGGCAATGTGGTGTTTTATTCCTAGAAAGTCATATATCTATTTGCCATATCTGTCTTTGCTCCTAAACTTTTGCCTCAAAATTTCCTGGCCTTCAATGACTAGGATTCACCTTTCCAGGGGTGTTATATTACAAGGAGTTAGGAAGAGGCACTTTGATTGTAAATTCCATGAGACAGGCACTATTTATTGAAATTGTTTTCCCCCGAGCATCTTGCACAGTTGTCTGCACATAAGAGATGCCTGATGTTGGTTAAATTAAAATAATTTAGTAATTTCTGGGGGCCAATAAGGGTGACCAGTTTTGCTAAACATAGTTAATACTGTTACTTTTATCCTTCTGCTAGCTCTGCTAATCCCAATTTTCAATTACACTGGTTTTGTCTAGCTTGTCTGCCTGTAGTTTCCCACTACTCTCCTGGTGAATTTATGTAATCTCAGGACCTAAGGGGATGCATTACCAAAAAAGCTATGTTTCATTTTCAGCAGGTATAGAATCATCCCTTTGAGTTGCTGCTTGCTTGTTTTGAGGCATTAACGAGCTTTGGTGATGGTTGGTGAATGTTCTGCAGAGTGATAAAGGAAGCCACCCAAGGCTGCAACTGCCACACCTGTTTTGTGCGAAGAACACCCATCTGGAGAGAAAGAATAATGTTAGGCTGCCCATCAGATATGCTTTTCATTGCTGCTCAGGGTTGCCACAGTTCCACCCTGATGTTATCACTTATTTGTTCAGCTTTAGGCATGGACCTTTAGCTCATGTGTTAATCCCATAAAATTATTTAGTAGAGTTATTAAACACCTCAAATGGTGTCACCCAGATTATTTTATTCCTTCTAACAATACCCCTAGGAAAATGTGAGTGAGCCATGACTGTTTCCCCATTTCACAGAAGTGAAGAGAAAGGACCTGACTCAGACACACAGAATGAAGGTTGCCTTGCTTCTCACTCCCTGTCCCTGTGTCCTTTCTTTTGTTGTCACCAAGTTAAATGAGCTTCTTTTTTTTAAAGATGCATGGTCTTGAAAGGTTCTGGATTTGATTCACTTTGTTAACCCCTTTGACCTTGCAGAAGAGTCCCAGAATCACTAGGCTGCCTTAAGGAAATAGCTGCCCTCACAACTAAATAAGGTCATTTCTCTCCAGCAGGTGGGGAGAATTAGTTCTTAATTGGTCATCAGTATTTGGCAGGTACTAGCACTGATAAAGAAAAATCCAAGGGCCTTGTGATGGCTTCCCCCTTGCTCAAACCTATAAAATTGTTTGAGTTTCCTTTCTTATCACCACTTGCAGGTGGAGATGTTGATGAGAAGTTAAATGACCAAAAGAGAGAAGGGAGCATGGAAGGGTTTGGCTAATCACTCCCGAGGTAACTGAGAGTAAAATGTACACTGACATGGTAGGAGAATACCCAGAAGAAGAGTGGATCTGTCTTGCTCTCTGCTTGCCCCTTAAACTTAGGGAGGAATTCTTCAGAAAAGAAAAATAAATAAACTAAATTCCACCTAAAATATGAAAAACAAGAAATTGCAGCAAGTCTTTCTGTCAACTCTGATATCACAACTGTTCTTTGCTACTAACCCACTTTTTCATTCTGTAGCCCCAAATTACCATCTTCTTTTAGTCTTCTGGACCACCTGACATGGGGGAAGGAAGCCAGGGCTCTTCCCTGGAAATGTTTTCTTTTTCCTGAAGAATGTAATCCAAATGTGCATTTTCAGAAGAGCAAATGCAATTTATGCCTATTAAATTGTCTTGTATTTCTGTTAGTAAAATATAGGGCATCTCTGCATAGGATAATGTGTGTGTAGGAAGAGGTGACTAAGTATAGTCCCAGGCTTTTCCCACTTGTCTTCTGGGCACTGGAAAGACATCCTGTTAGCTTTTGATGGTTTTACCTGAAAATCCTTTCTCTCTCCTCTTAACTCTTCTCAATGATTGTTGTTGGTCTTTACCAACTCTGGGTAATTGTTTTCTATTGTCATCTGGGGACAGAAAAAATAGAGAGGAACATCAGGTGAAATTCTTTAAACTGAGTTTTCACAGATGTCTCCTGCCATCCCCCACCCTCATTTCCAACAACCCTGTGCTGTTGTGGGAGACTTCTTGAACCTGAAGGGGCTGTGTTTGTGGTTTCTCTCACTCATGACTGTATATGCCAAGTGCTATATAAATATGAGTTATCATTATGTTTATTCCATCAATTCTAGAGTCCCTGCTACTTCTCTCATAAGATCTCTTTCTTGCAAACTTCTCTTAGATGCCCAAATCCTTTTTAGGACCCTGAAGGCAAATGATCTCAACTCAGAAACCCTGTTGTAAGGCCTTAAGCTCAGTTCTTTGCTTTCCTGCCAATGCTCTACACCCCTCCTCTCTTTTTATATTGTGTCTCTTCTGCTCCTTGGATGGAGACCATGAACACTAAGAGTAGTGACAGTACATTCCTAGCATTCAGTAAAAGTTCCCTCCATCGAATATTATCAGTGCTTGGGAAAATAGTTTTTCATCTTTGCAAAATCTCCAATGAGTTGCTAATGCATTTCTTCTGATGGGACATGGAAGATTGCATTTTCATCGTGTCTAACTGCTCAACTTCCCTGCCACCAAGGTAGTCAACTATACTCACAAGGCTTCCCAAAGCATCCCTCCTTAGGTTGCTGCCAGGTAAGAATAATCTGTAGCCATCTAGGCTTGTAGAAATCTGAGTATCCAGAAATTCCACAGAACATGACTGAGGAAAAGAAGATGAAATTAATTATCTTCTCAAATATCCTGGGTGCCTTTGGCAGTCTTCCCCACCTCTATTCCCATTGTTATGCCTGTTATATCCTCAGGGGTCAGCACAAACCTGAGCAGAGTTGAGTGTATTGAGCCACTAGAACTCTTGCCTGATAGAGAAGAGTAAAACTGCATCTTTGCTATAGAAACAGGGGGCACAACGTAGTTCAACTTTGAGGTTAGCATGACCTCAACAACTGAGAGCTTCAATGAATGTTGGATAAAGTCATAGGTTTTTTGGGAGATTAAAATTTTTTATGGGATTTGGGCTTCCAAACTAAAGAACAATTCCAGCTTATTTTATCCCTGACCCAAAGAGCAGGGACTGACATCAATCAGTCACTCAAGAGTTCAGACAGTCTGCATTTTAGGGGAAAGGGGAATTGTAGAAAAAGGAAGTCAGAACTGTCATCAGAAATGTGTGTGTGTGTGTGTGAGAGAGAGAGAGAGAGAGAGAGAGAGAGAGAGAAGGATTATATGTACTTATCTGGAGAATGGAAAGCAATTCATACTATTCTCCATGAAGAGATCTCGATCAAGAAATGGGTATCCAACTTCTTCAGTTTTCAAATTCAATGCCATCATATTAGCACAGAAAATATCCATGTAGTACTTGGATTGGAGGAACAGGCCATCTGAGCATCCTTTCTAGGGACCAGAACACCAGGGAGCATTGAATTTCGTTTTGATGGTAGGAAGGAGTAGCAATTGTTAAGAAAGAAATCTATGATTTTGAAATGGACCTCAGAAATTATCAGTGTATGTAAAATGAGGGCTTTTGCCAGGGTTCTTTCTGCATAAAGCCTTGCAACATGTGTAATTGGAACTCTTTCCTATAGTTCTTTCTAGGACTCACCCCGTTCGTTGTCTTCTGGAACAGCAGCTATAGCAGGCTCTGAGAGACCAGTAGTCCAAAGATCCAGATGCCATCTACGCACCTACTCATTTTGATTCTTATCAAATATTAATTTTGAGTCCTTCCTATGCCAAGGGAGTTCCTGAATTTTAAAAAGTGTTTTGAAATATTGAACTGCTCTTAGAAACAACTTCTTCCGCTTCCAATTTTGGATCAGAAGCATCTGACAGAGATTCAACTAGGCAAGGGATGCAAGTAAACATTTTTTTTACTTCTAGTCAAAAAAACATGCAGAGAATCTTTCTGACAAGTGAAGATACAAATAATTAGGAATTAGAGTACAATTTCAATCTGAAATCTGTAGGTGAGTAGTGAGTTAGAGCAATGTGCCTTGAAGACAGGGGGAAAAGCCATGGGCAACAGGCTATGTGCCAAAGAAAAACAGCCTTCTGGAGCAATCTTCTAGCCCACTAAATAGTTACTTACCATTTTGGCAAACAGGAAATAGAGGAGCTGGTGTGACAGTGTATAGCCGGTGCAGCCAGGCTTAGTCATGAGTTCCCTGCAGACATCAGTGACAGTGCAGGGCTGCAAGCCCTCCTTCCTAAGGAGCAAGCAGTCCCAGGTTGTTATTTGGATAAAACAATGAATGGAGGTCAGGAGAATTGTAGGCCTGGCCACACTGACACAGTTCCTTATTGCCTTTAGGAGAATTGGTCGAGCTTCAAAAGCATATAGAAATGGGAGAAGTGTCTGTGAGGAGTGTATGTATATTATCAGTGGGGCAGCTGGTGGTACTTTTCTATCAGGGAAGAAAGAAAAAGGGCAGTTAAACTCACTTGGTTCCTAGTAAGAGTGCCATGCATGAATCACTTAATTCTTCTGAAAAAAAATCTGAGTTGTCAAACTTGGAGTAGATCATGGAGGTGTTTATTTGACTCCATGAATGAGGGAGATTCCAAAACCCTGGCTGTAGAGTCTCTTGAAATTCTGTCAGAGTGAAATTGACCAGTATCACAGTAAGAGAAAGCAATTATAAACTCTGATAGCAGATTTCCATCCTACTGATGCACTGGACATACATAACCCATGCCCAAATTTCTTGTGCCTCACAAATGTATGGCTAGGGTCTTGCGACCTTCACCAACCACTTGAGAACTGGAGTTGAAATGATTCAGGAAATATATTCTCATCAACAGGAAAAGACCCCTACTGTCAGTCAGTCAAATAAATATTTGTTAAGTGTCATAAGCACTGGGGATACAAAGAAAGGTGAAAGACAGTCCTGGTCCTGGAGGAACTCACAATAAACCCCAAAGAAGAGCATTACTGATGGATCATACTTAATTTTCTCTAAAGAATGAACAAACAAGTGCTTCTAGTTTGGTTAGAAAGTGAGGGAGTCTTATAAGACCTAGCCACAATTAGAGTATCTATACAGAATGACATACAATGACATGTCATTTAAACATAAACTTCCACTGTGGCCCCATTTCTCCAGGTAGAGAGACCTGGAGGTGCCAGAGGGAGCTTTTTAGAGTCAGAAAGGACTGTGAAAGGAGACACTTTCTGCTAATTCCTCTCAGTTGAGTTCCTGTGTACTTTGTTAGGAGGCTGGATGGCAGTTTGTCTACCCAACCCCATAGGTTTGCCAGAATCATTCAAGCGAGGGAGATTAGATTAGTTTCCCTAGCAAATAAACCTCCTGACTTGCACAATATTTACCTTTGAAGTACATAGAGTCACTGAGCTTGAGGTAGATTGTGGCTCTGGTGATGAGGGGTAACAACTTCTTCACTATGTTCTCTACCCTCAGGCTCAAGGGCTTTAGGGCAGGCTCCTGGCCCCATTTCTCCAAGACACCTTTTAGTTGCACTGTGAAGGAATATGACAGCCCTGTGAATCAGATCTAGCCCCACTGGTGTGCTTTGGCTCTTCTTATTCAGAGAAATGTGTCTGAATTTTATTCCTGTGCATTATTTAGGCAGACGCCTGAACTCCCACTGTCATCTTTCTAGTTCTTTCTACCAACAACAAGGTATTACTCCCTACCCTTCTTTATGAGTGGAACTGGGATTGGAAGAACTGGGAAACTGGAAGCAAGGTAACTTCAGCCCTTAATTTTCTCTGCTATGACCCAAGGCAAATCTTTTTCTAAATTCTACCCATTTTCCTCAAGATTAAGTCCCCTTTTCTCTTCACTGAGGTGTTCTGGGAATGAATGAAGTCATTAAAGGGAATCATATGTATGAATTTTTGTAGTTTGTGGAGGATTAGATCTCTAGAAAGTTGCAGAATGATTCCCCAATTGATAAATGGTCAAAGGATATGAACAGACAGTTCTCAGATGAAGAAATTAAAGCCATCTATAGTCATATGAAAATATGCTCTAAATCACTATTGATTAGAGAAATGCAAATCAAAACAACTCTGAGGTATCACATCACACCTATCAGATTGGCCAACATGACAAAACAGGAAAATGATAAATGTTGGGGAAGATGTGGCAAAATTGGAACACTAATGCATTGTTGGTGGAGTTGTGAAATGATCCAACCATTTTGGAGAGCACTTTGGAACTATGCCCAAAGGGCTATAAAAATGTGCATACCCTTTGACCCAGCAATAGCACTTCTAGGGCTATATCCCAAAGAGATCATACAAATGGGAAAAGGACCCACATTTACAAAAATACTCATAGCAACTCTTTTTGTGGTGGCAAAGAATTGGAAATTGAGAGGATGCCCATCAGTTAGGGAATGGCTGAGCAAGTTGTGATATATGAATGGGATGGAATACTATTGTGCCATAAGAAATGATGAGCAGGCTGACTTCAGAAAAACCTGTAAAGACTATGATATGATGCTGAGTGAAGTGAGCAGAACCAAGAGAACATTATACACAATAACAGCCATGTTGTGTGATGACTAATATTGATAAACTTAACCCTTCCCAGCAATACAAGGATCTAAGACATCTCCAGAGGCCTTGTGATGGAAAATGCTATCCACATCCAAAGAAAGGACTTTGGAAGTTGAATTGCTATTTTTTTTCTCTTCTGTTGAGTTTTGTTTCCTCTTTCTGATGGTTCCTCCTATTGGTTTTAATTTTTACTTACAACATCACTAATGTGAAAATATGCTTAATATGAATATAAATGTATAGCCTATATCAAATTGTGCACAATCTTGGGTGGGAGGAAGGGGGAGAAAAATTTTAAACTCAAAAGCTTATGGAAGTGATTATTGATAAATCAAAATAAATTAATAAAAATAAATTTATAAAAAGAAAGTTGAAGAATGAAATGGCCATAGTAGAAGAGCTCAACTAAATTCTGCCTGAGGCTACATTAAAAAAAAATTCAAAGGGTCTAGGGCCCTTTGAATCCAAACTTCACAGAACAAATCCCCTTAATAAAAGGATTTGTTCTGTAAAATTGGACTCAGTCAAAAGGCCCCACCCAAGGCCACTTGTGGCTTCAAGGCCACAAGTTCCCCACCCCTCATCTAGAATAATAATTGTTGTGTGTCCCAGAGGAGTAGGGAAAACGGTGTTAGGTATTTTCCAGGGTTGCAATTTTTTTCTTTCTCCTCTTAGTCATTAACATGGTCAACAAAAACCCCTACTATCCTCCCACCTTTCTCAGTAAGAACTAGAGATGAGCACTTTCCCTTTCATCCTAGGGTCCCAATACTGGGGTCATTTTCTTGGTAATCTCTTAGGTTTGGGATAGTAGGTGAGAAGAGCCTGCTGGGGAAAAAAAATTCATTATACATAGTATGGCGCAAATCCAGACCACATGGACATAAGCAAATCTGCTTCAAACCCTAGCAACATCATCTCCTAGGATTTTCTGGCTCCACAAATTCCAGTTGCAGGAGGGCTGAGCAAGCAGCCAACATGGAATAGGATTAAGAAGGGCTCCCATTACCTCCAGTGAGAGGATTACTTTTGTAGGTAGAAGCCTAATGGAAACAATCCCAAACCAAGATCTTGAGACCCAGGCTGTTTGCTCCCTTAAGGATAGTTATTACCAGTCTAAGAGGTTACAACTGGTCCCACACCAGAGTGGAGTTTTCTCTCTGTTTGACTTGGCCTTTCTCCAGTATATTATCATGACTACTTTCCTCTTCCAAAGCTGAACAAACACTTCATCCGTTTTCCCAGAAACTCTCAATGTCTTTGGTTACAATACGTTATGAGCTGAGGTAAGAGTAGAAGAACAGTTTGTCCACAGATGATCCAGAGAACTAATAGAAATGTTTTTATTTAACTCTCTGTTAAACAAGAATATTATCTCCTACCTTGTTAGTATAATAAGAAAAGAAAATGAGCCAAAGAGACTGTTTGCTTTGCTTTGGGAAACTGGACTATAGCATTCTTTAGGGACCTATGCCTCCAAAATTTTTTATTCATTGTTTAACATAATTCTGTTTACTTCTAAAAACCCAAGAGGTACAAGGCAAGGGTATCCTCCAGGCAGTCAGAGGCCAAATGAGGAAAAAAAAAATCTGTACTCTTCCTAAATTACCAAAACATAAAGTTCAGCTTCAGCTAATATCCCATGCCTAATGTTAGCATATGAGTTGAAAAATCTTAAAACAATCTTCTTTGCTAGTCATCCTGTGGAAGAGAGGAAGTCACACTACCTTCTAGTACCCAGAATCCCACCACTCCATCCAGGTTAAGCTCCCTGAATCTCTTCTCCATGAATGATGTGGCTTTCTCCAGGGCAGGAAGGATCATCCTCCCTATGGCCACTTTGTTCTCTGAGAGGTCCTGCTGTTGGAGAGATAAGAGTGGCAACAGCAATGGCAGCAGCCGCAGCCCCAGTAGGTACATGTCTTAGTCCCCTACACTCAGCCAAATGTTCACAGCAGCTCCTGCACTAGGTGCCTCACATACTCTCCACCCTCTTTCCTCCTCCTTCTTCTCACTGGACAAAAGGAGTAACAAAGACGTTTACTATTAGAAACAAGCATATAAGTAAGTGCCCATAGAAAGGTCACTTTGCACTCTAGAGCTGCTGATTTGGCACTGGTCCTGAATAGTGGGTAAAGGTCTATGCAAAAGGTATGCTTTGCCCATAATTTGGAACCCCTGGGGGCCTCAGTGTGACTGGCTTAAGTGGTAGCTGGGGTTAGTGGCTCAAGAATACATTTTGACCAAATAGTTTGGAAATCTTAGGTACAGCATTTACTTTTTTTAATTTTTTAATTAATTAATTTTTAGTTTTCAACAATCACTTCCATAAGCTTTTGAGCTTTAAATTTTCTCCCTCTCTCTCCCCACCTCCCTCTCCAAGACAGCATGCAATCTGATATAGACTCTACATATTCATTCCTATTAAACATATTTTCATATTAGTCATATTGTAAAGAAGAATTAGAACCAATAAGAGGAACCACAAGAAAGAAGTAACAAAACAAAACAAAAGAAGAAAAAAGGGCAAATTGTATGCTTCAATCTGCATTCAAACTCTGTAGTTCTTTCTCTGGATGTGGATAGCATTTTCCATCATGAGACTTGGAGATGTCTTAGATCCTTGCATTACTGAAAAGAGCTAAGTCTATCAAAGTTAGTTATCACACACTGTGGCTGTTCCCATGTACAATGTTCTCCTGGTTTTGTTCACTTCGCTCAGCATCAGACCATACAAATCTTTACAGGTTTGTCTGAAGTCCATTTGCTCATCATTTCTTACAGCACAATAGTATTCTATTACATTCATATACCACAACTTGTTCAGTCATTCTCCAATTAATGGGTAATCCCTCAATTTCCAATTTTTTGCCACCACAGAAAGACCTGCTATAAATATTTTGGTATATGTGGGTCCTTTTCCCATTTGTATGATCTCTTCGAGATACAGCCCTAGAAGTGCTATTACTGGGTCAAAGGGTATGCACATTTTTATAGCCCTTCGGGCATAGTTTCAAATTGCTCTCCAAAATGGTTAGATCATTTCACAACTCCACTAACAATGCATTAGTGTTCCAATTTCCCCACATCTTCTACAACATTTATCATTTTCCTGTTTTGTCATGTTAGCCAATCTGATAGGTGTGATCTGGTTAGGTACAACATTTAGAGCAGAGAGTAGGAACAAAGGGCTCATTTTTCTTTCCAGTATTCAAGCTCTCTAAACTTTTCTGACTGGATGATTTCAAGGGTTGTTTCCAACTCTAAATCCTGTGTTCTTTCACACCTGTAGCCCCTAAATATACCTGCTCTTTGCCAAAGTGGTCTCATATACCACCATAAGTCGCAGTTATCAACTTTACAAGATGTCTCCCAAGTCTATACATAGTGTCTCTATCTAGATTCACAATGGAATCTCAGACTCAACTCAGAACCAAAATGTTAACTCCTCCTCTTCCCCCAGATACTAAATTTGCTTCTCCTCTAAACTTCCCTCTTTCTGTTGAGGGCACAATCATTCTCCCAGTCATCCAAGTCACAATTTTGGAGTCATCTCTGACCCTAGCTTCTCTTTCACCAACTATTTCCAATCAATTGTCAAATCATGTCATTTCTACCTTCAAGACATTTCTCAAATCCATCTCTGCTCTCGATTCATGTGGCCACTGCATCATACTTCAAGCTTTATTCAACTCTTGTAACATCTCCTAATTGGTCTTCCTACTTCCAAGTTCCCTTCTCTATCTTCCACATGACTATTAAAATAATTTTCCTAAGGCATCTGTCTGACTATATCACTCCTTAGCTCAAGAATTTTGTTTCATTTTGGCTGTAGAATAAAATACAAAGTACACAGCCTGGCATTCAGAATATTTCAAATTCTATCTCTAGCTTACCTTTCTTTAAAAAAAAAAAAAAAAAAGCTCTGCCCAATTAAAAAGCATTTATTTTTTTTCTCTTCCCCACCTCCTCCTCCAATTGAAAAACTAGATAAACAAAGCCCTTGCAACAAATACACATAGTTATGCAAAACAAATTCTCACATTGGCCATGTCTAAAAAACATGTCTCGGGGCAGCTAGGTGGTGCAGTGGATAGAGCTCTGGCCTTGAAGTCAGAAGGACATGAGTTCAAATCCAGTCTCAGACACATGACACTTACTAGCTGTGTGAGCCTGGGTAAGTCACTTAACCCCAATTGCCTCACCAAAAAGCAAATAAATAAATAATATGTCTCATTCTGCATCTTGAAGTCATTCCCTCTTTTAGGAGTGAAGCAGCATGGAATCACAGTTAGTCAACTCATTGATCCAGATTCTTACATCTTTCAAGATTTTCTTTACAATTTTGTTATTGTATAAATTGTTCTCCTGGTTCTTCTCACTTCATCATGTCGTACCAAACTTTCCAGGTTCCTTTGAAACCATTCCCCTTTTTTATAACACAACAGTATCTCATTATTCATATACCACAATTTGTTTAATCATTTCCCACATGGATGGGTACCCCTTTCATTTCCAACACTTTGCTTCAACCAAAAGAGCTGCTACAAAACATTTTGTATGTATGGGTTCTTTTCATCTTTCTTTGATCTCTTTAGGGGAATAGTCCTAGTAGTGGTATCACTGGACCCAAGGGCATATACAATTTAATGACTTTCATGGCATAGCTCCAAATTGCTTTCCAGAATGACCAGACCAATTCACAGTTTCAACAACATTGCATCAATGCTTTTCTTTTCCCTTAGCCCCTCCAACATCTCATTTTCCTATTTTGTCATCTCAGTCAATCTGATGGCTATGAGATAAAACCTCAGAGTTGCTTTAATTTGAAATTTTCTAATTATTAGTCTTTTGGAGAATTTTTTTTCATTTGTTTGGCTGACCTTTCCAGCCCAATTTCTTATTATTTTCCATGTTCTACTCAAATTGGCAAACTTGCTGTTTTCTGACCAGGGTGTTCCACTTTTAGTTTCCATGCCTTCCAAAAAGCTTTCCCACATGCTGGTATAGCACTGTACTGGTGGTGTTAAGGAGATTAGGGAGCTGGGAAGGAATGTCTGCTAGTTCAGGCAATTTCTTCCCTCTTTGATCCCTGTGGGGCTGCCCTGACTTTGGCCAGACTTTGGTTGACAAAGCTAGTTCCTACCTTTCTGAGGCAGGGCAGAGGAGCACCAGTGTAGAAAGAGAGGAGTTGCTGCCACCGCTGGCAAATACACTGGGGACTGAGAGAGTGCCCTGGAAAACTGTAGTGGAAGAGTGCCAGCCAAGAGATCCTGAACATTTGACTACAAGATAGAAGCTGTGTATGACAGTTAGGCCTGAGTAGTATAGGGGCAATGCTGGGTAATTAGACCTGTTAGGACTGCTGAGACCAGAAACTTTCCTAGGAGATGTGTGCTTATTCTCTGAATCCCTGTTTCTTAGGAATTTGTTTCTGTTTATTTTTTGCATTTTAAGTATTATGAATATGGTTAGCCATTGAACTATGAATATGTTGCAGCAAGGTGCCTTGAGGGTACCTTGAGACAGGAGACAGCATTGGTAGGCCAGGTGGGCCAAACCACCACCACCACCCCCTTCACCCCCACTTTCCCTTAGAACTCAATGGTGATGGCCCAGGACCTTTGCCTCAAAAGTCTTAAGGAACAGACATGCCCTTCAGTCCACCAGGTCAGATTCTATCCCAGCCCCAAGCAATCAACCAGGGAAGGAACCTTTGTGCAGACGATGCTAGCTCCTGCCTTCGAAGATGCTAAAGCTCATGTCTCCTCAGCATCCACAACTCCTGAAAATGCAGAAAAGAATGTTCTTAATATAAAAATCCTTGATACTATCACATCAGTTGGCATAACAAACATACATGGTTTTTAATAAAAGGAAATTACACCAAAGCAAGTACATTAGGACCACTGGGCCTTTCCAACTGACTTTCAGCTAAAAATGGCTATACATACACATATACACATATATACATATATGTGGTTGTGTGTATTTGTGCATATGTGTGTATATACACATACATATAATTAGAATGTCAATTCCTTGAGAGAAGAGGTTGACTTGCTTTTCTTTTTGTATCCCTGGTGCTTAGAACAGTGCTTTGGTCATAATAAGTGATCAGCAAATGCTTTTTAGAGGTAGCTAGATAGGGCAGTGGATACAGTGCTGGGCTAGTCAGGAAGTCCTCAGTTCAAATCCAACCTCAAACCAATATGACCTTGGGAAAATCACTTAATGTCTGCCTCAGTTTTCTTACCTTGTAAAATGGAGAGAATAGTGTCTACCTCCCAGGGTTGTTGTGAGGATAAAATAAAATTCTAGCTTTTATAATTCTGTTTGTTCATTCATTCAGCTATCTATCCATCTTGGGTATTTCCTGTGTAAGATTTTGGTGTGAACTAAAGGTTCAATAGATTCAATTTTATAACTTCCTAGAACAGAGACAAACTTAGATCTAGATCTTTTCAGACAAATGAATTAGCAGCTTTGACTGGAAGAGGAACTGGACTGGTATGGAGAAATGAGACCTTGGTCACCATGGTCCTCTTCCCATTACTTTCCCACATCTGGTTCGAAAGAAAAATCAGCCCTATACACTGGGGTGGAAGGAGCAACTGCACACATAAGAGCACAGGCCAGTGAAAACAAAAGGACAAACTTTCTGCTACTCCACTCCAGCTTACAAGTGCACTCAATGCACAGCATCCTTCTTCCCACTGCTTGATTTGGGATGCATTCCATCCTCTCTTCAGCTTCTTTTATTCCCTAGTTTCCTTCAAAGCTTGAATTCAGGTGCCACCTCTTTTGAACAACCTTTCCTGATACCCCTAATTGTTAGTGCTCATGCCTGCCTCAAACCATCTTATATTAACTTTGCTAAGTAAATATTTCCTTCTTCTCTCTCTCCTCCTTGAAATCAAAACTTTTTTAATTTTTTTACTAATTTATTTTAATTTATCAACAATCACTTCCATAAGCTT